TTACAAAATGCTAAAAACGGTCCAGAGTTTAGAGAAATGAAAATTAAGGGTAATGTGTGGTTCCTAGACTGGAGTAAAAGTAATGGTGATTGTTGATAAAATTTGAAATTATTACATAATACTAGAGGCCCAGTGCACAAAGTTTATGCACTAGAGGGGGGTCCCTAATCCTGGCCTGGGCCCTTTCGCAGTCTAGGACTTCTTGGCGGATATCCCTCTAGCAGTCCAGGACCGCCTTGCTCCTTACTGCCCACCTGCTTGCTGCTCCTTACCACTCGGTTCACTGCTCTTTAGCGCTGCTGCGGAGGTGGGAGAGGCTCCCACTGCCACCACTGTGCTTGCCAACCATGAGCTCAGCTCTGGCAGAGCGGCACTCCCCCTGTGGAAGCACACTGACCACCAGAGGGCCAGCTCCTGTGTTGAGCATCTGCCTCCTGGTGGTTAGTGTGCATAATAGTGACCTGTTGTTCTGGTTGTTCCACCATAATGGTTGCTTAGACTTTTATTATATAGACTAGTGGCCCGGTGCACAAATTCATGCATGGAGGGGGGGTTCCCCCTGCCCAGCCTGCATCCTCTCCTGTCAGGGACCCACAAGGATTGGGCCTGAACTGGCAGTTGGACATCCCTCCTGCAATATGGAACTACTGGCTCCTCCTAATTGCCCCTAACTGTCCCTGCCTGCCTGATCACCCCTATTCCCTCTGCCTTCCTGTTTGATCGTCCCTAACCTCTTCAGCTGATTGCCTGCCTGATTGCCCCTAACTGCCTCTGCCTGCCTGCCTGATTGCCCCTACTGCCCTCCCCTGCTAGCCTGATCTTGCCCCCAACTGCCTGCCCCTGTCGACCTGATATTGCCCCCAACTGCCCTCCTCTGCTGGCCAATTTTGTTCTGATTGGCTATGCCAGTCAGCGTCAAAAGCTCTGCCTCCTAGGCAGCCATTGGCTCCTCATGGTTTACCCAGATTTGGTTCTGATTGGTCAATTTCTATGCCAGTCAGCATCTCTGGGCCTATCAATGAGGCCGGATCAGAGACACAGAGCTGATCAGCAGCCCTGGTGGAGGCCTGGAGAGAAATGGAGATGTGGCTGCTGGCCAACTTGGAGAGAAAGAGAGAGGCAAGTGCTGATCAACAGCTGGCAACAGGCTATGGATCAGACCCTGCTTCTCTCTTCATGCCTTTCTCCGGGCCTGATTTGCAGTCCCCTCAGCAAGTCAGTGCTGAGTCACTGTGCCTGCAGCCGCAGCGGTGCTGGGTCATCACGGCAACCCAGCACTGACTGTAGGACTGACTTCTAGTTGGATGTGGATGTGATGGACCCAGGGTTTTTATATATTAGGAGGATTCTTGCAACTTTTCCATATGTTTGAAATTCTATTGAAATCAAAGAAGATATCCCCACCACCACAAAAAAAAAGTGCATTGTCTGAGAGAATTTTACATAGAACTAGTTCATTTAATTACCATCTCAGTGTTTGCCTGCTTTAAAGCATGAAACTAACTTCCAAAAAGAATCTGAGTGGGTGAAGTGTGGAGTAATATTTTTCTCCTCTGTCATTTTTGAAGTGACATATTTCTTATCCCCAAGTATTAAATTCTAGATTCACATTTTGAAACACAAAGGCGTATTTACCAAAAACACGATTTGCTTCAACAATATCACCAACTGTTTCTACTGGTAGGGAAAAAAAAGAAAGCTCTGCTAATTTTTCACCATTCTGTTTTGTTCTTTCTGATATTAGCAGAATGTATTGTGGGAATTGGGAGTGAGCATCCCCAAAATGTGCCATCCTGGCATGCAATTTATTTCAAATAGAAATCAGTTAAAGGCCAACAAACTTGGGGAGTTTTTTACTTCCCCTTTTTCTTAGATTCCTGCTTTAGGAAGAGAGCCTTGACTTAATCACCTTGAGAATGTGCACCCTGGCCCTTAACGGTATGGCACAGTGGATAGAACGTCGGCCTGTGGACTGAGGGGTTCCAAGTTTAATTACAGTCGAGGGCATGTACCTTGGTTGCAGGCACATCCCCAGTAGAGGGTGTGCAGGGGGCAGCTGATTGATGTTTCTCTCTCATCGATGTTTCTAACTCTCTTTCCTCTCTGTAAAAAATCAATAAAATATATATATATTTTTAAAAGAATGGGCACCCTGCTAGTTAGTATTGCTCAGGAAGACCATTAGGCTAGATACTTTTGTGTCCCATTGTTTCCTAGTTGTCTAGCAGGAATTTGCAGCCACATGTTTCATCAACTACCTGTAAATCACCCATTCTGAAATCTAGTACCCCATCTCCTCTATTCTCTTTTACCCCAAAGTGTCATATATACCCAGTGTTGCCTCACTGTCTATGGAGAATTCCCCATATTAAAATTTTCATTTTTTTCCTATTAATCTGCTGTATGTTGTTTGTATTACAACAAGTCAGAAGAACTAAAGAGCTAAGGAGACCTTTCCCCCTGTCCCAACAGTAGTCATACTTTGCTGTTATTTATGGTAACATGAGTTTAGCATATATACTTACATCTTGGGTTACTGGAAACATTTTGATTTTTTGTTGTTTTAATATCCAACCGTCTGTGTAGGTAGGGCTCTTCTATATAGTCCTGCTAGCCATTAAAAACTAGTCTCAAAAAATTTATTGTGACAGTGTATTTTACCAGCAGCAAAGTTATCCAAGCCCTGAAGACCTTCATTGACTAGTTTCTAAGGTGCCATGCATTGTGAGGGCACTGGAGATACAGTGATGAATAAGAGAGAATCTGTAACTACTGTTACCAAAATAATATATTTAACATTTTATCTGTTGTGTTGACAGACATAATTAGATCCACTTCCTTCGTTGTCTAAATTTAGTCAGTGCTATTTTTTAAGTTGCAGGTTAAAAGTGGCCTAAAATTAAAGCATAGAATCAATGCTGCCTATTCAGGTTTGAGATAATGTGATCCACTGGGTTAATCGTGTTTATGTTCTCCAGCTTCTGTTGTACAACTTAAACTCCAAGTATCCTTTTGGGTAACAGGGCTAGTCTTTTGCCTTTCAAACACACATTATGTTATATTTGTTCCTGCATTTAAATACTTTGGGCAGAGTATTTTGGATACTGAGTTGTAACTTGTTTCTTCTATTCTGTTTCAGAATATCCAAAAGTGACTCTGGTTTAAGGAAAAACCTTACAGATAAGGAACTTTTACTCTTATACCACTGCTCTTTCATTTTTTGACTCAGTGCTAAGTAGGAGGAAGATTCTGAGAATATTAAAAATATTTCAAAGAAATATATAATAAGAATATAAAGAGAACTACACCGGAAATGTTTTCAAATATTCTAAGAAAGATTTAATACAGTAAAGTTTGTCAATCTAGAATTTACGAAGTATGAATCATTACAGATGGTGGAAGGTGTATCCATTTGAATATCAACATTTTCAATCTTCTCAAAGGACTAATACCCTGCTTTCTATAGTACTCTCTGTATAGCTTAATCTTTTATTTACAGATGATACTCATCATTACCAATCATTGTATTAACACTGTAATCATAACTGTGTAAAAAGCTTGTATAGATGCAACAAAGATTGGCAGACAAAACATGAAAGCATTTTTTAAGTTAGTAGTATTATGAAGTGATGTCTTTTTTTCCAAAATTGTTTTAAACTATGACAGTGATTTGGGAGTTTGTTTGGAATTTTTATTTGGCTGTTTGGTGGATTGATAGTATGTTAAGTTTGCATTTTGGGCATTCTTTTAGTAATTCTCTGTAGTGTTTTTGTATTCTCTCTTATTGTCAATTTGTTGACTGTCACCTCCTAGGACTTGTGCTGCCTCTAACAGGAAGTTTAAATATTTCTTTAAAAGGGTAGCTTGTTTCAGGTGCCAGCCAAGCCATTTCCACCATACATCATTAGCCTGTTTTGCCTAGACATTAGAGCACTAGAGATGCAAAAGTCATTTTGAACAGAGCAGAATGGGGGGAAAGTAGGGTATTTCCCTCTCATGTGGTTCCATTAATTCCTTGCTTCCTTGTTGTCTTCTGTCTCCAGGAAGCTGAAAGGTTTAGATATTTTATTTTGAAGAGACTAAAAGTGACAAACCAAGAATTGTACTAAAAGAATGACACAGTTTCTTTCTTTTCCTTTCCCCCCCCCAAAAGAGGAGTTTGGTTTTGCTTTCTTTGTTTTCCTACGCGCTTCTGTTTACTTAAAAGATTGTCAGAATATCATCCCAAAATCATAAAAGAAGTAAAACTCACCTTACATTTAATTTGTAATAAAATTTGAATTTAAAAGAGAATTTAACACCCTTTCGATAATTAAAAAGCATTTTAATTATCGAAAGGGTGTTAACAGAAGTCAATCAGGTTTCATGACTAAAACAGAAGTCCCTGAATCAGACTCTCAGTTCCTTCTCATTAAAACTTTAACTCTTATTCTAATAATGTCTCCTAAACTTTGTGATATTTATTTGAACAACTTGATTGAAAATTAACCTAGAGCTCTCATCTGTTTTATTAAACATTTTCCTAAACATATCTTATTCTTGATTATTTCTACTCACATATCTTTTTATTTGTTTTACATATGTATGACCTACTTCATGTACCCGCCATTTTTAATTGCCAAATAGTACAGTTTTTAATATATAGCTAAAATAAATTCTGGTCAGTGGGTACAATGGGCTGTTTTCTCCACTATAGTTTCACTAACGTCAATCTTAGGTAAGCACAGTAATTAAGAAAGAATGAATACTTTCACATATAGCAACAGAATTTTTATCAGAATTCATTGTAACCCTCAGGTTTCTGTTTTGGGTGATACATATTGCAACATCTGAACTTTCTCCATGTCCACATTTCCTGCTTAGGAGACAGACCAGGTTTAATCTGTTGAAGCTGTAAAATGCATCTAATTCACTAAGGACTCTTAAAAGACAGATTATTTTTTTTTTCTTCAACTGTTTTAAATCATGTTGATTATTATTGGATTTCTTTCTTGGAATAGATGGGGAAAGAAAGAATCAAGTGATGATTCATGGAATTGAGCCAATGTTGGAAACACCTCTACAGTGGCTGAGTGAACATCTGAGCTACCCGGATAATTTTCTCCATATTAGTATCATCCCACAACCCACAGATTGAAGGATCAACTATGACGGGATTTACCAGAGCATGTTACCCTTCTGCTTCAGTCAGGTTTGGTGGAGGCAACCTGACCAGAAACCCTGCTGCAAGCCAAACAGGAAAAAGATTCCATGTCTGATAAGGGCACTGGGGCTGGTCTTGCTTTGCATCACCACTGCTTTCCTCCACTGCCGTCATTAAACCTCAGCTGCGACAGGAAAGACTTTACAGGATCACTGCAAGTCTTCTGTTTTCTTGTAAAATATAATGAAGCCGAAACCTTTGGCCTAAGAAGAAAATGGAAATATGTGCCACTCAATTTGTATTTCTGATTAACAAATAAACAGGGGTATTTCCTAAGGTGACCATGGTTAAACTTTAGCTCAAGGCAGTGGAAACATTGGTTTAATTTTCAAGAGAATTAGACTTAAGAAAGTAAAAGAGAAATTCTGTTATCAATAACTTGCAGCAGTTTTTTGTAAAAGATCAAGTTACAGTAAACCCATCTTTCCTTAATGAAAATTTCCTGTTTACAGTCCGTCTATTGGTATGCAAACAATCTTGTAACTTTGATAATGAACAGTGAGAGATTTTTAAATAAAGCTTCAAAATATGTTTTGTCATTTAATAACATACAATTTTGTCACTTTTCCAGTACTTTCTGACTGACATACTAGGTCACTGTTTTCACTCTTAACGCGTTACCATTCAGACTGGCCATCACAGCCTGGAATGAATGTAGGGCATAGGATAACCTGTCTCAGGAGCTGTCACAGGTGTTCTAGCTGCTAATTTTTAAATCTTTGTCCTTCACGAGGTAAAGATATAAATAATGTTATCATTTATCTCTGCTATTTTACCACTGTAAACCTGTCAGGTCCTAGTATACTAAGCATCTGAATAGGATAATTTTACATTTTTGGGAAAACCATTCCTTTCTAAGTTAGTGTTTTCCATTGGCTTCAGGTCTAATATTTCACTGTGGTCCCTGGTAGCCAGTCTTTGAAGTCTAAAGATTACTGATCTCCTGGCTGCAGTAGCTTTTTCTTAACGTTACCAAACATATCCAGAGGTTACTGGATTCTTACTCGATAGAAGGGAAATTTTGCTGCACTTAATCACCATGCTGCTAAAATTCTACCAGCTGGAAGTATTTGTGCATTACACTTTGTCTCTTGTAAGCTGTCCATATTGAATGTCGGCCCATTTGGTTATGCTAAAAGACCTATCATACAATAATGGTTTTAGATTGCACAATAAAAATGAATGTTTTTCTTATAAAAGCTATATATATTGAAGTGAGATCTCACTGGTGCTCACTGCTTCTTTTTTCCTTCTGTGATTTTCACTGATTAATAGCAGACTTATTCACAAAATGAGATAAACTTAGTCAAAGATCAAGTATTCTGGAATAAAAGAAATAAGGCTCAAATAAAAATGTGATCAGAGAAGAATTGAAGCAAGTAGCAAATAACTGGCTAACGTCCATAAAATGAAAAGTGCCATTTTAATACAGGCGGAAAAAATAGCAATATTTGAGTTACTTTAGGATTAAAAAAAAACCCACTGACTTGTATTTTTTTGAAAGAGGTTGATCTGAATATGATTGTTCACATTAAAAGTGTTTATTCGTCTGTTCAGTTTGGGGATTTTCCCCCTTGATGTTTTGACAGACTGAAGTGAGCATCAATGGGCAAAAGGATCAAATGCCAGGGAGTGCTGAGCTGTGAAGAAGCAAGAGTGGTAAGACATACTTTTCCATAGACAAGACCCGGGCAAGTCTCTGCTGTGGGCTCATGTGAGCTACTAATACTCTTTGCTTCCAGATTGGAAAGCAAATTTTATCAAGCCATTGCCCATTTTCACTTTCTTGTTCTAATGAGTTAAACCAGCATTATAACTGTATTTACTCTAGTTCTTGTAAGTCAAGACTCCAATATCAAGAGAGAAAATAGAAACACAAGTTAGTGCTGGCTTAAATATCTATTTTTGTTTTTTTAATATTTAAATTTCATGGTTTATTAAAAATTTAATAAAATTTCTGTCTTTATTTCTAGAAGTTAGAAATGAAATTTATATAAAGCAAGTTACCTGTTAGGGAACTCATTGAAATTTCATTAGTCTTATACCAGTCATAAAAGTTCCTCTAAGAAATAAAAGCTCTGAGGGATAAAAGAAGGCTATAGAAAAGAAAATTAGAAAAGGCCACAAATCTATATGCTTGTTTAACTCATTCTTGGTAGCGAACCCCCTAAGAAAATGAAAATGTGTTTTAAAAGTATTGCCATTGTTGCCCCAACTTTTTTGGCTCAAAAAAGTTGGGGCAACAATGCAGACCAAAGGGTTCCGGGTTCGATTCCAGTCAAGGGCACATAGCTGGGTAATGGGGTTGACCCCCAATAGGCAGCCAATAAATTATCCTGTCTCGTCATTGATGTTTCTCTCTCTTTCTTCCTCTCTGAAATCAATTAAAAAAAATATTTTTAAAAAATTATTGCCATTGTTAACCAGGAAGGAAATAAGTTCAGCCTAAAGTAAATAATTGTTCGTCTTTTGTAATGTTGTTTTGCATTTGGATTATCTTAGTTCTAGCCATGGATAGAGTTGAATTAAGCACCTTATGTATCTAGAGACCTAAAGTAGCCTGATCATAATTGAATAAAATTAACCTACCAGTCTTTTCAGCATGCTGATATAATGACATAGTCCAGCCATTCTCAAGTGTAGCTATGGGTCAACGATTTCTGTTAGCTTTATTCTCTTCCTCTCACCGCCACCCCCTTTCACTGGAAACTAGATAGAAATTGAGAATGTATTCAAGATTTGATATTGAGTGATAGTAACTTTTAATGGCTATTTTTCTGGAGTATGTTTATGTTTTTATAGGTTATATGAGATAACTTTTTCTTTACATGTTCAAAAAAGTGGAAGGATTATGTGGGTCATGCTAAATAATGAGTCTCATTTATCATATTATTGATATTTAGGTCTGAGGTAAGTTGGTTTCCTGTTACATGTGCCAACATAGTTGGAGTAAAAGTGTAGAATCTTAGGGTATGGCAGGGAAAAAAGTGTAATATTTATAATGTGGGGGCTAAAAAAAAAAAAAAAATACTTTCCCCTCTGTTGGTAGTGGTAGAAATGGCAACAGGTGTTAACTGGTGGAGGCAAACCAGACATCAGTTCCGCAACCTCAGTACTTGAGTTCTGGCTAAGAAAGAATTCAGAGTCAAGACTCAACCCATAAGAGAAAGTTTATTTAGAAAGTCACCCAGGTAAAAGAAGTGATCTGTAGAAGATACGGGCTTAGGAAACAAGTTACAGAGGCAAAAGAAGGGGTCTTTGGAGCTTGGGAGAGAGAGGTGATGTACCTGAGGGGAAGAAGAGGAGGACTGGGAAGGCATGAGCATGCTCCTGAGAGGGAGAGCCTCCAACCTAAAGGTTTTTAAGGGTGGGGATTTTAGGAGAGGTACCAGGGGAGAATCTCAAGGGAATATTAATCAGCTTTCCAAGTGTATCCTTTCAGAGTCATGGTCTCCACTGATTGGTCGAAGCCAGAGCAGGGTTCATTAGTCAATGCAGCTGGTCCTGATGTCAGCCATGGCATCACTTGCTGCTTTTCTGGGCCTGGAGCTGAAACACAATGAGACCTAGATGTTATCCCTAGGGTAAGGTGACCAGAAGTCCCGCTTTTGACGGGACAGTCCCAATTTTCAACAATTTGTCCCGCGTCCTGCGGTGTCTTAAAAAAGTCCCAAGATCGGGACTTTTTTAAAACCCCGCGGGACAAATAGTTAAAAATCAGGATGTCTGGTCACCTTACCCTAGGGGTTAATGCTTAAAGGAGTGTGTGCAAGAACCCATATGGGAGTCAACATGAAGCCATTCTTCAGCCCCTTGTTTCCTCTTCCAAGGGAGTTACTCCATGACTAGCAACATGCCATGGGAGGGTCTAAATCTCATGACTGATGATATAAAAAATCAGAAGTCTAAACTGCATGACCTATGGCATACTAGGGAAGGAGAAGTTACGCTGGGGGTGATGTCCTTGTTCCTAGTTTTGCCCATTGCTAGGCACCCGGGGCTTTCTGTCCTGGTGACCTTGTATACCTGGCCCATCAACCTAAATTTTTCTATCTGGGCTCATTAAATTACCAAATTAATAGGATAAAATTAAAATTTTAATACATGTGCTCTTCCACAAAATACCACTGCCTGGGTGAGTCTCTTTTGAAGAAGTGGTATTAGAAGAAGTTTTAAGTTTAAAAAAATTGGCTCTCAAAAGAAATTTCAATTGTACTGTTGATATTTGGCTCTATTGACTAATGAGACACTGGTCTAGCACATAGTCTGTGCTTTGCGAATGTTCATAAAAAGAAAAAATAAACTCAAGAGCATTTAATAACACATTAAAATCTTATTTTTCCTGTTAAAAATATCATCTATAAAAATAAGAACCTTGTCATTTAGAAATCAATATACCAAGTGCAGTTGGTTCGGGTTTGCATTGCTGATGAAGACTTGCTTACTCAAATTTGCTACTTTCAGTAGGAACCACTGTGGATAGGATCCTTGCGTCAGTCCACATTCATTTTAGTTGCAGCATAGACCACAGTACATATCTTATGTTTCAGCATCATTCTAATTTAAGCAACACCCCAAAATTGGGGCTATTCTCATCAAGCATCTGGAGGTATTTATTAATTCTGACCTTTTCACAAATGAGTGGTATCTTGCTTTTGCCTCTAGACTTTGCTTCTGAAAATGTAATACATTTTTAGTAAGGGAAATATGTTAGACCTGTGACAAGGTTATTCAAACTAAGGTAGACTATTGGAACCATGCTGATGAAAGCCTGAAGATAAATATTTGTGCTTCAATCTTTTATATTGAGTGTGGAAGAGGTATGTTTTGTATTATTACTTATAAAACATCAATGACCTTTGTCTTTATATCGTTTACCGTGTTTATAATAAATATTTGGGTGGTATTTATTTTACACACTGAACATAAACTCA